AAGCCTGACTCAAGATTTAGGAACAAAAAAGAAGCAATTCCTGCACTATTTAAACTGACCAAGCCCAAGTCATTCCCAGCTCGAGTCTGTTCTTCGTCAGCTCGCATTCCAGATCCCTTCTGATAAAGAATTGTAAAGACTGAACCTAGTGAAATACTCCACTAGCTTTGGAGTAATGGACAGCCTACGTTTTCCTTTTGCTGGATGTGTCCTTGAAGATTATTGATGGATTTCTGTAAAGTGCTATGTGTTCTACATTTCTCTTTGTTTCACACGAGCTTGTATCTCCCCTTGTGCCATGAGGTCTGTCAGTGGCAGTACTGGCTGAAGACTGAGCTGTCATCTCTGGCAGGAGAAGTGCAGTGCAGCTTTCAGAGACATGAGAGAGGGCTGTGATTAATCAGAAGTCTGGGTAGTGAGTATAGTGGTCACACCTAGGTAAATGGTTTGTAGATCTTTCCTAACATGTATTTAATCACACACACATTCCTGCTGTGTGGTGTACACGGCAGCTGGTGTCAGTCCGCGCTCGTAGCATAACAGGGTCCTTTCCTGGGTGGGTCTGAAGATGGTGCAGGGATGTTTGACAACATGGAACTAGGGAGGTTACACAGAGCAGTTTAAGTCTGAACTTAAAGCAGCTGACACTGAGCAGCTTCCAACAGGAGCAGTTGGAACGTGTTCACTTTGCAACTTGAAGGCTATTCTCCCTAGAAAATGAGTGAGAAATTCAAGGCCTGCTTTTCAGGAGGGCTGAATGTTTATGACACGGTGCTAAGACTCTCATAACAAAGTAAGTGATTTATCCTGGTGTTTCTCACCACCCCAAAGTGAAGGCTAGGTGCATGGGCCTGGGGTTTTCCTTTCTGATGAGCAGTTGTGAGAGTGAATTCCAGAACATCAGATCTTTGGGAAAAGGAGGTATAATGATTTTCATTTCTCATACTTCCTACCATTAGTTGTCTCACCTTTTTTTTTTCCTTAGTCTCATCAAATTCTTAGGCTTCGTTGTTTTGAAGGAACATATCCACATGGCTCATCCCAAAGCTTTTTCATTCCATTCATGAAATTTTAGTATCTTAAGAGCTCTCAAAAGTGAGTTCATGTGTTTAAAAATACTTTGCCTTCACCTTATCCTCCCTACTCCATTGCTGCCATTCCCATAGGTGCATCTGCATCTGGGCTAGGCTGTAGGTCCTCCACTGTTTACTTTTCCTATTGTTCTCAACTTGCAAGCCCTCATCAGAAATACCAACCCATGTGGATACCTGAAAAGTGTTAGCAGCTCCCACTGAAATGCCCAGTGAATTCTTGCCCCAAGGCTCAGATCATCCCAAATTCACTGGCACTGGCACTCAATGAATCTTCAGGTGTCTTTTCTTTCCTGTAAAACTAATCCTGCCCCATACAGGCAAACTGGTGGTGCATTAAGTGCAGACCTTACACCGTTAGTTAGTTCTGCAGATAAACAGAATACTTTAATTTTCCAAGTAATAAAACTTCATGTTGTAAAACTCATACAAACCAGAGCAAACAGACCTAATTGATTACCCTTTATCAAACCTGAGTTCTCTTCTCAGTGCTGCCCATGACAAAAGTTGTGACACTTCATTCTCTCTTCCTCAATTCCTCCCTCTTTAAAGAGAAGGTAATAAAATGCATGTATCTTTATAAAGCACTTCTAGTTTCACGATTATTAATTTTACTATTACTACACATGTACCAAATATCTATGTTTTGATATTGCATCGAATCACAGTGCTGAAATTACCTTGCCAATTCAGCTTTTAGGAGCAGTGTCAGCTGCTCCTTCAGGCTTCATGGCTTGAAGTACTTAGCTTTGGGTGGTAATGTGAAAAGGTCACACAACCTGGTATGTGCCATCCTAGTGCAGAAAACCCCCTGCCCTATCAAACTGTGGTTTTGTATGAGGATTCTCTGTTTGCTCCACCCCTCTCCATCACTGCTCTCCATGCAGGCTCGAGGAAGCTTGATAATGCTGTTCTTACACTATGCAAATGTTCATACAGGTGATCAACCTGTGCAGTGATTGCCCACGAATCCATTTTTGCAAGAGGCTGGTGAACTGTTAAGGATACTCTAAACAGCATTGTAGTATTTGGGACACACTAGATAAAGAGTGAAGTCTTCTTTGATACTTACTGATGTTTACATACCACGTAATTATTATTATTATCACTGAAAATCCCAACTTCCTTTCTTTGAACATAGTGTCTAAACAGGAAGAAGCCTCACCTTCCTGTTTGGAGTATTGTTAGTTTCAGAAGAAATAGATTTTTCTCTCTTACTTGCAGTTTTCAAAGATTTTATTTTTAATACAAATTGAAAAGGCAAACAATAGGCTATCTAAAAGGAAGGAAAACCACGTCTGAAACAGAGTCTGCTATGAATAGATAGTCTTTGCACTATGAAATAACTCATGTCATACCTATATACTGACTTTTGCATATTGGGAAAGGAAATGTAGACCTATTTTTGGCACACACTACACTGTACATACACGATGCAGAGAGTAAAGTAAAGGTCAGAAAGGGAAGAGAAGCCTCCTGTCAATCTGCACAGACAGCAGGAAGGAGTCATGCAGGAGTTGGATTGGCCCTACAATAAGTGCACAGAAGTTTCTGGTACCTGCTTAGCATCCTGTATTCCCTGTGCTTCAGGTCAGTGCTCACAGTGGCCTTCTGGGTAAATCTCAGCTTCTAAACTTTGCTTTTGCAGCTTTAGTTGAAGGAAATACTGGTGGAGCAACACCTGCAGTTCTGTTCCAGGTATGTGGAATCTTTGATGCCTGCAAGGGGCAACATGGTGGGACTGAGACCAAGATGCTCAGCTCATCTTTGTATGGAAACAAACGGAAAACTGGTAACTGAAAGCTGTGCGTGAAAGTGCTTGTACCCAAAAGCAGAATGAGCTGTTTGGCATCCCAAAGGTGTCCGATACCTTCTGGGAGACTGACAAACAGCCTAATTGAATAACTACCAGCAGAGGCCTTGTAAGAGCTGCTGATGTATATAAATCTTTCTGGGAAGCGTTCCTATTGTCGCTTCTCCTTCAGCTTCTCTCCTATCACAGCTTACCTGGGCAACCTATGCCAAGTGTCTCACCACCCTCATAGTGAAGAACCTCTTCTAAGTATCTAATCTAAATCTCCCCTCTTTGAGCTTAAAGCCATTTCCCCTTGTCCTATCTCTACAGGCCCTTATTAAAAGCCCCTCTCAGATTTCTTGTAGGCCCCTTTATGTATAGGAAGACTGCAAGTCTCTCCTGAGACTTGGTTTATTTCTTAAGGCCTTGGCTCTTGTATTCATGAACTGCATGAATATCCACCTTCTTATGAGCGTGGAGAAAGTGTAAAAGCATGGCCTTACAGGGTCAAATACCAGACATTTATAATTCTTTCTTTTTTCTAATCTTTTGGATTTTTAACACCACTGTTCTGATTTTGGAAGCCTTATTTTACAGCACTGCATGCTTGCTGTTGGCAGTACTGCACAGTGCAAAGAAACCTTGCAAGTATTTGCTACTCCTAGCCCTATTTTAAGTTAACTCTGCTTACTGAACTAGGGCATTATATTTGGTTACATTTGTAGAGTCAGACCCTAAAGGTACATCTTGTTTGTTTTTGCTTGCTCCGGGTTTCCACTTCTCATGGAACCCAAGTTCCCTTTGGATGCCAAGATGCTTAGACCACCATGTGTAGCCTTCCTAACTTTGCTGCTTTCCCAAAGATGGGCATGTGCTGTTTCTGCACCATTTGCAGTGTCTTCACCACTCACTCCTGCCACTCAGCTGCGTACAGCTCGTCATCTGTAAGTATTTTGCCAGATATGAGCCTTGCTTTGTGATTTAACTGGACTGCTGCTATTCACAGTTCCAGTAAGAAGAGAACACATTAAAGCCATTGTAAAATAATCAGCACCACATGAAATTGAGAAGGTGGGATCCAATAATCTGAAACCCAGATGGTCTCTGGCAGTGAGAAGTAGGAGAGCTGTCATGCTGAAAAAGACCCAGAAGTCAGTAAATTAGCTGAGTTAATGATGTGACACAAAAAAGGCAAAGGCAGAGTGATTCTAAGCAACATATGTAGGAGTGTCTCCCCTGAGAGACCGAACATTCTGTAGGCTTATCTGTGCTAGTGTTCTCCATGCAGGTAGTACAGCTATTGTACTATGGAAGCAATGATGGATACTAACTGTGAATTAATAAGGTGATATATTTACCAGCATGTGGAACAGTCTCTCTGAGGAGGGATTAGCAATTGGGATTAGCAAATATAATTGAACAACACTTTCTGGGACTCATATGCATGTCAGATGGGAGGAGAAAGGAGAAGCCTGATTTCACTGTACATGAAATAATAATCATGTAACATGTGAAATAGTATTTGGGCCTATTGTTGTTGGCCTCCATAGGAAGATGTTTGTAGAATCTGTGTTCTGATCCTAAGTGTTTTGAGTAGGAGCCCATGCAAACTTTGGACTCTTGGACTGGCTAGGTGTTGCTGTTGAACAACACTGCCTGCTTGACCAGCTAGTGTTTATAATACATGTTTCAATGGTGAGGGTAGTCTTTTACAGTTAAATATCTGAGCTGATACCATGGGGCACTGAGTCCCTGTCCTCTGAATATTCCCTGTGCTGCTGCTGCAAATAAATTCACCCGCTTCCGTCTTAATAGCTCGCTTTAGATCCAGTGCCACACTTCACACCCTATTCTGGACACTCTCCAACAAGTTAATGCCTTTCACTGAGGAAGGTGAGTAAAACTGATGAGAGTATCCTTAACTAAGGAGCCATAAAATTCTAATAGAGCAGTAATGTTCCTAGTGAGCCTGAAGGGAATCTGATCAATAGTTATGAGGTTGAGGCTCAATTTATGGCCTTAATTCATCAAGCATAGTCATGCTCCATTTCTGTACAGGATGCTTTTGTGGTTCCTGCTGAGCAGAGGAGTATAAAGTCTGCGTAAGCTCTTTCTTGACAATTCCCCAGGCTCTGTCATTTAAGAACAGGTGACTCTACAGAGGTGGTGATCAAGGTCCTGTGATCTATTTGAAGGCAATTTTTCATTGTATAGGACAGACTGTACCAACTGCATTTGTTCTGAGAGGCTTGGAGTGCTTTCACGGTGAGTACAAAAGAAAGTTATTTTGGATCTTTTAGAAACTTGGCACTGCAGTTATTCATATGCTCTTCAAAAATGCCTTTACTGCCTTTTGTAGACCCCTTCCAATACAATTTGCAAGACGGGGCTGGGCTACCTCTGTGTTTCTAAGCTGCCTCTGTGGTAGAAAGTTTTCCCAGCTGCTCCTGACACAGGTTTGATCTCTTTAAGTTTCCAAAATGGAAAGGGAGCAGGCAGAGGATGAAATTTCATCCAAAGGTTTTATTACAACCTCCATGTAAAAAGCCAGACCTTTCCAAAGACAGAAGTTCAATGCAAGGTTTATGTAGCCACCTCCCACCAGTGGCATAAGCATGAAGTAGACAGAAGCATGTCAAACAAAATGGAAAAGCCTTGATTAAAGCCATCTCAGTAATTTATGCATCTGCTTGTCATTCCTGCATGCATATGCTAGCAGAAGTATCTGAAGTGATATAGGAATGTCTTATAAGTATACAATAAGGTCCTAACTGGAGATGGCTCTCAGTCAACACTTGACCAAAAATGTTTCGTGACATTCATTCAAATACCATTTCTCAAGCACGCTTTTAAAATCCCCATCTCCTACACCACGTACAGATCCATATTCTAACAGCCTAGTCTTGCACATGGACTTTGTTGTACAGATCCGTTCTGCTTTGCCTATCTGTCCATGGTTTTTATTCTAATACTCCCAGTCTAACCTCTGGCGTTAAAGGATGCCTATAGATATTTGCACTGGTTGGGGACAAAAGGAAAAAGATTGGACATTTTCATGGTCTTGAAATGCAGGTTCTGACTTTTCTGACAGCCCAAGGGGACTGTGGGAGGTCGGGGCTGCTGGTTCTTCTTCGGACCTCCCTCTGCAGCAGCATTTTGCACCTAATGCCAGCAGCTGCAGGGGAGGGGAGGCAGGAGGATTTTAGGGAGCCCTAGCTGTTACCTGAGCCAACAGCGACACCCAGGGCCGCACCAGCACAGTCAATCCCACTTGAATCTGCTTCCCCACACTCCGTGCTGCCTGGAAAACTTTCCAGGGTTTAGCCCTTTTCTGTTCCTGAACGACTACCCTAATTGAGAAGGAAGCAATATTTTACTGTAGTAATTTTATCTATAGACATCCTGTCTACTGGGGCACTGAGAGAAAATTAGATCTGCCAGAGGCTCATCTATATTCAAACAACTCTATTTATGTCAAGTGGATTTTATGTTTCCATTTCCATCAAAATAGTTAAGATAGTATTATTTGTTTGCAGCTAAGGTCAGCTTATAAAACCTCCCATTCCTGCTTCCTCACTAGAGTGAAAAACTCACTGAGGCCATACTGGAATTACTTCGGTAAACTTTAGTTAAATAAAAGTATAAACTGAGCTGAGCAGCACACTCAAGGAGCATGTGACTGTTGAAATGAGAGGTGAAGGTTCTGTAACAGTGAACACAAAGACAGGTTTTTATTACAATGACCCTGAACAACTTCCTGGAGGCAGATACCTGAACAAACAGTGCTAAAATGATCAGAGAGGTACCAGGAAATAATGAAAAACAGATCAACAGAAGCAAAAAACCCCCCACTTTATAGAACTGATCAGGACACAGGGTGAACAACCCAAATTACACACCACTTGTCTGTGCTTTCCCCTCCCAGGGTGTGTGAAAGGTGTCGGGCAGTCACTGAGCTATCGGCCATGTCACCGGTGTATAGCCCTCACGGCTGTTGAGGTAGTTTCTTGTTTGCTTTTCAAGCTCAGCCTTGCTTCAGCTCTTTGGGGATGCCTGCTCCTCTCTGCAAGGCAGGAGGCAGCACAACTGAAAAAGCACTGGGATGGAACAGCAATAAGTGAAGTAGACTGATGACCCTCGTTTTACTACCAAGCAGAGAAGTTGTGGAGGGGAAGGGGATGAATGAAGTTCAGAGTTTGTACGTTCCAGTTGGGAAGCTGAGGCTAATTGTGTAGATAAATAAATGAAATGTGTTACACCCATTTAAAGTATAAAGGTGCAAAGCACTGGTTCTACTTTGAAACAGAGCATGAAAAGTTACTGAGTTCAGAAAGGAGTAAGCCGTGAACCCATGGTCAGGCTGGGCCATACATGAAAGCATACTTGGTCACTCCTGTACAGTACCGTGGACTCTATTTAAAACAACCACCTTCTCTAACTAAAACAGACCTGTCAGTAAGTAGTACTGCAAAAATCTGCATTCTTTAGTGTCTGAAGCTGAGCATCCAGAATGTGAAGCATCTGTGATTCATTTCATTCTCCTGAAAATGTGGGTCATAGCCCATAAAACAATTGCACCTTCACATTGCTTTCAAGCAGTCTCCACGTTTAGTAGGATTTATACTGAAACAGTTATCTTTCTGCCTGCTTTTCCAAGGAAAGATGAAGCCAACTTCTGTTTATTCCTGCCATGGCACAGCTTGAAATGGGCTATTTAATAAGCCAGTGACCCACACACTATCAATGTGAGAGTGTTGCTACAGTCTGCAGCTCTATACCATTGCCTTTCTTTCGCACTTTCTTTTCCTTCAGAATTTGGCAAGAAAGGTTATTTAAAAACCAGTCCACATCTTGATAATCTTCAGGCCACCGCAGATACTGACTCCTTTGTAAGAAGTTTCAAATTGGTTTGTGTTTCATCAGCTGATATTGAGAAAGGGACCCAACCACTACCATAATGAGGACATCCTTCAGATCAGAAAAGTACCCGCTCTGGGCAAAATTAAAGGCTTCCACACACCACCCATCTTTGAGAAACTGCCTGGTCACAATGCACATTGTTTTCCTGCTGTTCCAAATGGCATCCCGAATATTGTTGATATGTTCTTCCCCAGGCAAGAAATCTCTTTCCTCAAAGCACAAGGTAAATCTGTTTTTATCAAAATACTGTGAATCCAAGTGCTTCAGCAAAGAATTCTGGACCCATTCAAAGTCATTTTTGCTGTAGCACAAATACGCATCATATTTGTATTCGCTTTTATCTGCTACTTTTGGATGCCTATCTATCACTTTTTTGGTTATAGTTTTATATCAGACAAAACAAATACCCCGGCAGCGAGTAAAAATGATGACTGCCATCAGAAACATTAGAAGAGTGACAGAGGTGAAGACAAATAATGAGAATCTGAGTGTCTGCTGGAGTTCATCTTCACTGCAATCATCATATGTCAGAGATGACAGTGGTACCCCTGCAAATGCAGGTGGGTATACACAGTACCTGTCAGACTCTGAGCCAGCTAGGGTTACGTTGGTTTCATTTAGCCACACTAGTAGGCTTTTTAAAGTACAGTCACAAACATAGTTATTATGTGTTATATCCAAAATACTCAAAGTCGTAAAGGCTTCAGGATCAGGGGAAAAAAGCTAGTTTCCAGATAAGTTTAGGTTTGTTAGGCTTTGTGGGAAAATCCCAGGAGAAAGATGAGACAATAGGTTGGAAGCTAGATTAAGTCTTTTTAGGGATGTTAAACCTCTAAAAACCTCCTGTGGAAGAGCACTAAGGTAGTTGTTATTCAGATGCAGAACCTGAAGTTTGGACAGTCCATGGAACACATCCAAACATAATTCTCTCTCCCAAACGAGCTGTAACATATTTTCACCTAGATCCATATAGATTAACTGTTTGTTTTTTATAACGTTATCATTTTTCACACAATAGGAGAAGCGATTCTGTTTTAAGAAGACATACTGCACATCTGGAACTTTGAAAAGGATGTACGGGTCACCCAGGTTTGCCAACCAATTTCTTTCTAATTCCAGGTATGTTGCTGCTAGTGTTTTGCCAGCTATGGACATTAGTTTATTGTCACCTAAAAAAGCAGAGGTCAGATGTGGAAAGGAAGGGAGCTTTTTAATGGCATTGTCTCGAAGATCAATTATTTTCAGACTTACTAAGTTACTGAATGATTTTTCTTGAATAATCCCAATATGATTTTGCTGTAGATCAATATACGTGACACTACGTAATCGTACAACTCGCCTAAAAGATTACTTGAGAGATTGAGAGTTTTTAGGTTTCTCAAGCCAAAAAATGCTTGCCTTTGGATTTCGTTTATCTTGTTTTTGAAAAGGTTCAGTGATTCCAGACTACCAAGGCTTTGAAAGATTAAAGATTTCAGAGAGAAAATGTAACCATTTGAAATATCAAGCAAACGGAGATCACTTCTTGCTAGTCCTGCAAACGTATCCTGATCTGGGTTTTTTAAGTTACTAAAGCCAAATCCAGAACCCATTATATGAAAGTTAAATATTAAAGAACCTATTTGCGTCCCTTTAATGGCTGAAGAGAAAGCTTGGACTTTCTCTGTGCTCCAGCCGTTGACACCAAGGTCTAGTGAGGTAAACGTGATATTGCTTAAAGGATTTGGGCATTTGGCCCAGGTTGTTTCATCTGTCTTGTACAAGTAATTCGAATTGAGGCTAAAAAATAAGAAGTGTTTTCCTCGGAAGCTGGTCAGATTGCTCTCACACAGGTTGGATATCGGGTTGAATTTCAGGTTCACAGTTTTCAAGGCTGTCAGATTATAAAACAAGGGATGAGGCTGAAGTTTTGTGATCTGGTTCCCTGAAAGATCCAATTCTTCTAATGAGCTCAAATCTTGAAAGTAATGTTCCTCCAGGATGGAATCTCCAAGGTTGTTCTGAAACAGACAGAGTACAGCCAGGCTTGGCAAGCCCACAAAAGCATCAATATCCAGTTGAAGAATGCTGTTGTAACCCAAGTCTAAGATACGAAGGTTTGGCAGGTTCCTGAAAGCTTCTTTTCCTATGGTAACAGGATAGACATACTGCGTTCCGATTTCCAACAGAAACAAGTGCTCCAGCAGTGGAAATGAAGTTGCAGTCACTTGTGTGATGTAGTTGAAAGTTAGCAAAAGCTTCACTGTATCCTTTGGCACAGTTGGAATATCTGTGAGGTTGCAATAATAATATACGGAGACTTGGGCTTCTGAATAACAGCTTCTAAATGCATATACATCACTAGCTAGTGATATTCCAAAGACAAGTACTAGCAGTTGACATAACATCATGGACCTATGTGAAAAAAGTGAAAATAGTAAGCATTAATTCTGTAGTTGGCTATTTATCTATGCAGTAAGTTGTAGAGCATGTTTTTAACAGTTTTAGAATGAAAGACTAATGTCACACTAAAAATTACTAGTGATTTGGCATTTATCCTTTCTCTGAAGTCTAACAGGCATCACCTGATGGGCTGGCTGGTCAGAAGATGGGTCCCAAAGAGATGCAAGCACCTCCTACAACCTCAACGGTGACCCTCCTTAATGTACCTTAAGGGCAGCACCAAACACCAACTAGGTAAGCGTGAAAATCTTGGCCTAGCTATTTAATTTGTGTCATGAAACTGATAATGCTGGTGTGTCAGCTTTATTCCTTAACCAGTTATCCAAACAGGTTTAACAGTTTGGATTACCAAAGTACAGTGCAGTCACCCAGTCATCCCAAAAGAGCTCTTAGCATTCCCTTTGTGAGGGCAGATTGCTGTCCTAATAGCCATGAACGTTTAAAAGGAGGACTCTTTCAGAGCTCCTGGAGCCTCGGGTTAACCCTGCAATCTGGAATTGGCTTATGAAAAAGTAAATTTCCTGAACTATAAATTATTAGGGCAAATTTTTAGCCCTAAAGTAGTTGTTTGTGCACTGCAGTTAAGAAAACCCTTACTAACTAAGATTGCAACCATCTGCCTCTGCCTTTTAAAAAGCACTTACTGAAATGGAATGAAATGACAGCCAGTTGAAGAATTTTTGTGACCTCCAGCACAATCTGCTTAAAAATCCTAAGTGTAAATCCTTGTGGAACCAAACCCTCAATGGCCATCTAACGTCTGCAAAGTAAATCTACTTCAGAGAGGAGAAAAGTTGGGCTTTGAGACAGTAGTTAAAAAGAGGTAAAGCCTGCTATTGGTAGTAGTAGTAGCAGTAGTAGTATCATTACACACTACTTCTTTAAAGCACCAGTACCAAATTTGATGCAGAACATTGCACTTGAACTAAAATAATCTTATGCTTGTTGCCATCATAGAGAGTGATTTCTGGGAAATGAAAAAGCATGACAGTAGAAACCACTGTGATAATCCCATTGCAAATACCAGGTGAAAGAGCTAGCCAGCTCTTTCTGTCTGCTAAAGAAGAAGTACAAGGATATTATAATACCATCAGATCTCGTAACTGACACAATCTCACTGTACCTAATATACTTGGTGATGTTCTTAAGGTCATACGGTTATACTAAAACCCTCACTTGTAACAGCTGTGACTACGAGGGTGAGCCTACAGATTTCCACCTCAAACACCAAGTGGGACACACATATACCTTGCAGCTTAAATAGGAATCTTGTCATTTTTTAAGACAATTTCATGGGCTTGGGACAGGATCTGATTCTTAAAAGTAAAAGAGATTGCAAATATAGGTCAGAATGCTGAATTATGAAGTCCTGGCATTTGAATTTCATTCACGTTTTGCCTCACTAAAAAGTATAGGATGTGCTGCAAAGAAAAGCAGATTGCAGACAGTGAGTATCAAAATTCTGTTAAGAGGTTTTAACTGGATCTGTGGGGAACAATTCCTAGTTCTGGAAAATAACTGTGTTTTCTACCCTCTTCTACCTAGCATGCACTGTTAAAATGGGACAGTATAAGCAGTAAATTATATGTTTGTCTTTCTGACTACAGAACATTGTAGGTTATTGAAAAAGACACAACTGAACATAGAGCAGATAATTTAAGATCTTGTTTAATTTTTGCTTTTCTCCTTGCTTGAACCATGAAAACAAGACACCAGGTTTCATTTCACTGTTTGTTAGCTATTACAAAGGTTCTTGTTGACACCATAACACAAGTTGTTTAGCACAAAGAGTTTTAAATTACATTTGTCTTTCAGATGGTTACATTTCCATTCCTTGTGTTTGCTCAAATACAGTGGCTGGTTGTTAAAGTATGGGCAAGATCACAGCATCACCAGAAGCAGTGACAAACAGAAAGTACTTTGGAAGTAAAAATTTAATAGACATGTGTCAACCTACCACCAGAAAAAGCTCAAAATGATTGAGGTGGAAGAATTAGGAAACACTGGTAGTAAATTTTGAAATGTAGGTTTGTTTTTTATCTTAGAAAATAAATAAATGGTGAAATATTTCAAGCCACCTTTGCTTTTTACACTTATCTGCTTTTTCATGTTCTTGTAAGTTAAAGAATTCTTTAACAGTCTCTTAACAGTTGTTACACATCACCTCTGTTCTGGTTTGGTGACAAGGTTCATTTGTAAACTCTTTGCTCCCTCAGTTTCTTCTGTGTAAGTCACTACTTTTTCCCAAAAACCTGGCCTTCCATGAGTAGAGAAGGATGCTGGCAGCAAGTAATGCCTCTTACTGCTACCATGAGGACAGCAAATACTTTGAATTTAACAGAATCCCTCCATGTAGCATCTTATACAGTCCATCACCATTGTACATTAGCACCTAAAAGCTTTGGGGAAGAATACTCTTCCCACAAAATTACCATCATCCCATTCAGGAAGTTCAAGTTAGATGTAAGGAAGAAGTTCTTTACTGTGAGGGTGGTGAGGCACTGGCACAGCGTGCCCAGAGAAGTAGTGAATGCTCCATCCCTGGCAGTGTTCAAGGCCAGGTTGGACAGAGTCTTGGGTGACATGGTCTAGTGTGAGGTGTCCCTGGCCATGGCAGGGGGTTGGAACTGGATGAGCTTTAAGGTCCTTTCCAACCCAAACCATTCTATGATTCTATGCCTGTGCATGGACGTAGAGATGAAAGAACGTGTAAATGCCTCATTCATTGTTGAAAACTGGAGCAATGAAGTTTAGACAACCAGAGCTGATCACGGGAGATTTTGTTTCCTTCTACTATGTTGACATCAGAAGGGAAAAACATTAAAGGGAAGGGGGAAAGGAGGAAGGGGAATGCTTTTGGGATGGGAAGTCCTAAGCAGGGTATGTTTCTGAGCAATGGGAAGAACTTTTGCAACACGGGGTGGATATTCTATCTAGATCTAAAATCAGCAAGCAAGTGCATGCAGAATGGAAATACCCTAGCTCTGGTCTCAGCCTCCTGGGGAAGTGTGTGCCTGGATCAGGGGAGGCTGATGCAAATACTTAAGAGTCATCTGGAACTGGCCGACACTATTTTATTAACTTTTTAAACTCACTTTTGTTAACTTGGTTTTAAATCACCTAGGAACCTCCACTAGTGCAGCAAAAGAGTAATGGAACTGGCAGTACCTGAGAATGGATGTCGTAGTAGAGCCTGTGTATTCCCTAGGACATCCACAGAGGCTGCCAGTAAGCAGGGCCTGAAGTAGCTGGAGAGGAGGACTAAGACTGTGTCCTTTTCAATGTACACAAGACAGGAAAGAAGTTGGAGTAACAATTCTGCCATGGAAAGTTGGAAAGCACTTGCCATTCCCCTTTCCACACCCCCAGCAAAAATGCACTGGAATCCGCATAAATAAAGAATGGGTTACATACCCTATTTTTGTCCTTGCTGATGGCTGGGAGTATTGGCTTGCTTTTTAAGTGATTTGAACAGGAAATTTCATTCTCAGAAGCAGTTTTGTGCAGCATGCAGTAGTAGCGTGCTTGCTCTCTTCAGCAGCCTCCTGTGCTTCCACCACATAACCCTATGAACCGGCACACACCAGTGGAAATGAACAGTCATGTACCATATGTGCTTATGAAATGAGCAGTGGATCTGCTGTCAGCCATAGGTTTTGGGGAACCAAGCAGCAGAGGAATTGGCTATCTGGGTGGACTCTAGAAAAGACCAGTCTGATGTAATCATCAATAAGCTTTAAAGAGTTTAAATACATTTTTAACAACCTATTGTAGCGACCATGATACCCTCCTAAGCAGACTTTTGCTAGATGACATCTCAGTCAGCCACAGGAACTGTGCAGACTGCTTGAAATAACGCCACAAACGTGAAGCCCAAGAATACTGGTCGTTTAGGTGTTTGGATGTGGTGGGTAGATAAAAAAGGTAAAGACAGAGGTAAAGTTCGTAAATTATCCATTATCTGTACCAAAAAAAAAGGTAACTTTTTTGCTTATGTTAATTTTTACAGAAACAAGCAGGCCATTTTCTGTAGGTCACTGAATCACAGAGGAATAGGGTGCATATAAAATAAAGTAAGGTATATATATAATAAAGCAGCAGTATCTTTGGATGAGTGTGTGCGAATCTCTTTCTAATTGCCGCAAGCCTGCTTTAGGATTAAGGGATAAATAAACATTAATCCCACTGCCAAGTTGGAAGGCCTTTTTTCCCCTGTAGCTCCATAGCTAAGGGTCTTGCTGTTTGGACAGCAAGATGTGAGAGCTCAGTTGGATCTTGCCTGAGTGCTGCTTAACCCTGATGTCCATGAAACACTGCTGGTTGTCACAGGTAGCACAAAAGCTCCCCAGAGAAAGGGAAGAAAGAAAAATAGAACTAAACAACTTTGGGGTGCGTTTCTTGCCTGTAAAATCAATGCACAGAAGACAGTTCTCTTTTTTTCTCTCTATATGTGAAAACATTAGGCACAAAGAGACAAAGACCATCTTAGTTGTGCCTTAATGGGTTTCTTTCTGCAGTGAGATGGGTTTGTGTATAAAAATCACACTGATTTAGCTTAAAATTTGATACGCACACTGCCTTCATCAGCAGTTTACAACTTTTCTGGAAAATATATTTAAGCCAAATTCTATATGTCCACATCCAGAATCCAAATAACTGAACAGAGACTGTTTCATATTCATCTAACCTAAACTACACTGAGTTTACAGCAGTGTTTATGAACAAGGTTCTAGACAGACTGGTGCCACGCTTTTGCTTTCTGGCAAATTCTAAGATTTGAAATAATTCTCTGGTTTCAAATCTAATCAGCAACAGAAGTTTATGTATAGAAAATCATGAAATTTCAAGGGTTTTGCTTCTGATTGGCAGATACTAGATAGATTATTGCCAACTTCTGTCCCCCTGTTATGTTCACCAAAGTATCTGTCCTGCCTGTCAGGGATGGACATGTTTACAGTTGTGATATAATGAACTAGGGGTCCTACCCACATAGAGCTTCTGAACTCTGCTCGAGGTGGTCATGCTTTTAGTGTACGGTTGTTCTGGTGTTCTGTGCCTCTACCTGGCATCCAGTGTTACCAACAGAAGTTGCAGGATGTCTTTCCCACACCCCAACCAACAGTCAGTTGTTAAATCCTTCTGGGACAAGGGATTAACCAGTTCCTAGAAGAGTTAGTTAACACCACATCTGGAAGCTGGAGAAGTGCCCTCCTCACAATAGTATCAACTGGCTGCAGGTACAAAGCATATGGTCATGAAAGAGCCACTGGGAAAAGGAAACAATGAACAGGAGGAGTTGGGAACCTGCGTGTGGTGGGTTGACCCTGGATGGACATCAGGTGCCCACCAAAGCAACTCTGT